GCGGAGGTGATAAGAAGTTGATGAGGAAAGGGGTTTAGAAGGTGCTCGTGGGTTTTACTTGGAAAAACTCTCGGCTGCCGGTGAAGGGCTCGGAATTATGTAATTTATATATCATCATTGAATTTCCTGCCGATTTTTCTGCGTGTTCCTTCAAATTAATTCTGATTAGACCGTAATCTTCTTTTGGTCAGTGTACACTGTAATTTTATAGTTACAATTCATTTCGCCGTTCTGTGTAATACTGTAATTTTGATATCCTGTCGTCGGACAATATCTACCGATTCGGAACTTCCGATCTGCATACCGGGTGTTCAAATTTTTCCCGACCAAACTTTGTTAGTACACTCGGCGAGTATAAATGAGAATAAAATGCTGGATAAATATAGGTCGTTCGAAGCTTTATTAAGAATTCAATCTACCCTGTGTCCTAGAAATTTCAAATTCGTCGCTGTATTCGCGTTGTAACTTCTTAATAAAGCTTCAAACGACCCACGTGTATCTAACATTTTCTTCTCGCTTATGCCTGTAGAATAAACCGGGAAAATTTGGTCGAAAAAAATTGGACCACCCTGTAAATCCTGAGCGCAGAGTCAGGAGATAACCTTTATTCGAACCAGCCGAGATAACCATCGCCCAGAAAATCCTGCGCACGGTGCAAATTGTCCACTTTCGATGCTTCCTCCAATTAAATTTGAAAATCCCGAACCGTCCAGGGACTTGCTAAATGTATCTTCGAAAAGGTCGTTCGCCGGCGAACTCTACAGGTCCGCTTGCGGGCATAGAGAAGCCTGGTAATATACCGTTCGGTGTGTTTACACGCAGGCACGAAAATTGTGGGGAAAATGATGGTGGTAGGCGGTCCTGGCCAGTGGAGGCCAGGTCGTGTCACGGAGGAGCCAGCGTCCACGCCCCCCTAACGATCGAAATTCATTTCCATAATTATCTCACGACCGCGGATCGCCTGTTGGTGCGCTGTGAGCGGCGTGGCGTGTGTTGTTCGTAAGAAGAAGAAGAAGAAGAAGAAGAAGAAGAAGAAGGAGCATTCAGGGGGCCTGATTCGTAACCGGGGACATGACTATTCCGTGTGAACCCGACGGTAAGTTCGAGGTTAAATTCCACCGGGTTCCATCGAGGGGGCCTCGTTATCCTGCGCTCGTTAATAAGTCGAACAGGTATTTCTTAATGGATTCGTTCTTACGTAATTAGACTGCCGGACGATTGCTATGGATTTCGACGATCTCTTCACTTCTCTCTGTTATGGTAGACGGAGGGATGGAGAGAGGGAGAGAGTAAATTGTAGAGAGCGAGGTGAGTAGATCGGTAATAAAGCTAGAAGGGAGAAGGTTCGATCGATACGAAATAAATAACATGCATTAAAAGGCGAGTGAGAAAGGGGAGGTGGAGGGGAGCAATTAAAGGATCGAGCGAGGGACAAAAAATAAGATTCTCATTAAGGAAGCCGGTTTCGACGAACCTCGAAAGGATTTCGCTACGTACCCTGATATATTCGCGAAACGTGTCTTACATCGCTAACGCTTTTCCACCATGGCGCGCGATGTCTAAGCTAGTGTTTCTCGCTTTAATTGCTATACAGCGAAGAAGAGAGAGGGAGAGTCGAACTCGTCGGAATCTGCAACGTTCATTCGTTATTCCGCTTGGTGGAAAAACCGAGAGGATTTACGCGAACACCCGCGCGGTATGGTGCTCCTTGTGTGCGTGATCAATGTCCCGTGTGCATTTACATATCCGCCAACCCTCATGATTGCAAATGTACTGTTTAACGTGTCTTGCTTTTAACCATGTTCCGGATCCTTTCTCTTTTCTTTCGTCTTTCCTTCCATTTTCTTGCCTCGCCGAGATTCCTCCGGTCTCTCCCTCGCGACACTGAGTACGGGCTTTTCATAACGGGCCTGGTAACACGGGCTTAAATCCCTCGCTTCTTCGATCCGTGGACCGCGTGTGTACATTAAATTCAGCGCGGACGCGAGATTACTTATAATTAAACCTCTTGGCCATCGAGCGCGAGAAACCCTCGTCTAAGCGCTCCTTCTCTCTCTCCCTCTCCCTCTCTCTTTCGCGTCTCTCGCGTGCGTGTGTGCGTGTCTAAAGCTCCTCGAAAGCGTCGGTCGACTTTTTTTCTTCTTCATTTTAACTTGGTACGCGGGAGAGACTGGTTGTTAGCAGTATGTTACGCGTGAGATGCGGTAACGTACACGCGTAACTTGTGCCTCCTGCGCGGACTCGTTACGCCCCGCGCGACAAATTAACGCCGTGCCGGATGGAAATCGATATTGCCGCTGCCAGTTCTTCTTGTTTTCTATCAATTGACAGTTGTGAATGAATGCACGATGTCACGGAACGGTCGGGATAATGTTCCACAGGCTAAACGAACGGGGGAAATTTTATATTATTCCTTTAAGTGTTTAATTCTTCCCTGTCTTGTAGTAACGAGGCGAGTCTTGGTGTAGTTCGTGGTCAAAGTATGACAAAGAGATGTTACAATTCTGTTACAACAGTTACGAGCAATTTCAGTGAGAAAATGTGGACACTTTTTAAAAATTCGTTTCTAATCTTTCGAAGCACCCTGTATAACAGGAATTATTTTGAGAATATCTCACGTTGATTTCAGAGAAGAATTGCTCGATTGGTGAATCGAATATCGGAAGTACTCTTCGGTAGGCTTCCGCGGTAAGGTTCCTCCACTTGTAATTCGCGAAACGGTCGATAGAGGGGAGTGGCGCGCCACCATCGATCAGGGCGCCGCGCGTTTTCGTCGGGGACGAAAAGTAGACGAAAGGCGAGCGCAATAACCGGCGACCACGACGCGACGAGCACGATTATCGCTCGCGGCTGTCGCGATTTTATTAGCGAACGCGCGCGCAAAACGCGAAACCAGTTTCTCCCCGTAGGAAGGCCCGATACCGATACGCGGCAATATTTCTACAAGGTAATACACTTAACGCGACGCGAAACGAAGCGCAAAAACCGTGTGATAATGCAATAATGCCGCGATTAACGCGACTTTTCGTACACGCCATCGGTAATTCTCGTAAGTACTCTTCTCTGATCTACCTTTGTCTCTTTCCTCGAGGAATTGCGTATCGGAACATCGTACTCGCATTTGCGATAATCAAAACGAAGTAAGTTACTAAATTTTCCACCGATCCTCGGTTAACAGGTTAGAAATCGTTGCACCCTCGAACGACGAAACGAAACGAGTCTACTTCTAGCGTGTGCGCGCGCACCCCGTTGATTCCCGCGTCGCAAGGGTACGAAGTGCGCGAATGCAGCCATAATGCACGCTCACGTAAGGTACAGCCGAGTTCTTCATTATCGTCGGGGGCCTAAATTGCGTGGGCGTACCTATACCTTCGTACACGTTACTTACCTTGATGTACTGTACGTAGCACGGCTATGCACGCACACGCGGCAACACAAGTTGTAGGGACATGCGCGCGTTCGGTCGGTACGCGCACACGTCGGCGGCGTGCAGGTTCGCCCGAGCGAACGGTGCCGAACTAGCGCGAACTTGGCCGAACCTCGCGAAGCCGGTTGTCGCGCTCCTCGCCAGATGCGACGTCGAGTCAGTATCGCGTCAGTCCTCCAGCGGAATTGGTCAGTGATCTGTGTCAGAGCAGGGCCAGTCGTCACTCTCCTTTTCTCTCTCTCTTTCTCTCTCTATCTATCTCTGTCTAAAACGTATCGTCGTTTTTCGTTTCTTCGTCTATTTTCGACACTTCACGTCTGTAGTAAGTCGAGAAACGACGGTGATTTTCACGTGATTTTATATGGTACGTTCGTGGTGGCTCGCGGTCCAGACGCATCCCCGTAGAGATTGTTGCCGCGAACGCACGCCCGGTATATACCTGTAGATAGATATACATACATATATATATATACACACACACACAGAGGGAGAGATACGTATAGCAGATATACAGTAATACAGTGCCACAGTGGAGTTACCAGTGGGGAAAACAAAAATTAGTTTGCAAGCGGACGTGCCTCACGGCGACCGTCGTTCACCACGTTCTGGATCGCGGCTGCAGCAGCAGGTGAGTGGAAAGTTTTAGTTGGATATCGTTTTTCGTAGCGACGTGTCCGTTGGACCTTATGTCCCGCAGGGATATGTTGCCCAGCGATGCTTCGTGGAAGTTTTCGGGGGGATTGATAGGTTAACGGAACTGTACGCCGTTCGATCCAGGCCAAATATTTCGGCTCAGGTTGAGCGATCGTACGTACTGGTCATCGTGTTTTTATAATATTATCTATTGTTCGATCTATCGGTGACTACGGGTACGCTATGAATTCGTGACACGAGAAAAAAAAAAACTGCTAATATCGTAGTTCGATGAAATTGGTTAAAATTTGTTTATTTCGCGAGGGGGATAATGGCGTCCTATTTCCTACAGCAAAGTTACTATTGGTAACGTTGCACGTACATACATACATACGCATAAGAAAGTTCGTAGCATTCGCCCTTACTACGGCCAATGTTTTTCTTCCATTTCACAAGAAGTCTTTCTTCAATTTCGACTGTTTACGTAGCTCAAAGTCACGCAAGCTATTAACCTCTAACGTTGTGTTTCGGTTTCAACTACAGAGAAACATAGCTTGGAAACGATTCCGTGCGCCAGTCGAGTATTGTTTTCCTTCGTTCATGTTTTTGCCTCTTGGAACGAGACGTTCGGTGACCCGATCGTTGTAGAAACGAGCCTCACTCGAAGCTCGCTTCTCTGCTTGATGGGCACCGAAACGTTCTATGTTCTCCATTTGTTAACGTCGTTGAAAAAAATGGCGGTCGAAAGGGGGAGCGTATTCTCCCACAAGGCGATCGTAAAGCGAGACTGGTAGGCCGTCGTTCTTCTCTTCTTCGTCCCGTGTCTCTTTTTTCACCTTTTTCTTGATCCCTTACCGTTAGTGGTCCGTCCTACGGCGGAGCAGTGTGTTGATCGCAGGCGAAATTTATACTCTCGAATACCTGCGCTCTCGAGCACCCGAGTCCACGAGTATCACAGTTCTCGAGCGCCTAGGTATTGAAGTTTTTCAATATTTAAGCTTTAATTTGTCGGATATTCGAGCTTCGAGTGCTTCAGCGTTCAGGAATTCGAGTACTCGGGCGCGCAAGTTATTGAATTTCCGAGCTTTCGAGTGCGTAAGTTATGGAATATTCGAGCCTTCGAGTGCGTTAATCGTCGAACATTTCATCTTTAGAGTGCTCGAGTTCCAGAGTGCCTTAAATCTGGAAAATCTGAGCTCTCTAGTGTTTAAGACCTTAGACATTTAAGCACTCGAGTGCCCGAGATCTCGGATATCTGAACTTTCGAGTGCCCGAGTTCGAGAGTGCCTCGGTGCTCTGATATCTGAGCTTTGGATGTCTCAGTACTCGAATGCCCGATCTTTCAAATACCCGAGCTTTAGAGTGCCTCGGTTCTCGAATATCTGAACTTTAGAGTGCCTTAGTTCTCGAATATCTCAACTTAGACTGCCTTAGTCTCCGAATATTTCAGCTTAGAGTGTCTAAATTCTCAAGTACACTAGCTATAGAGTCCCCGAGTCCTCTAGTACCAAATTCTCCATACACCTGAACTTCAGAGTGCCCGTGTTCCCGTATACTCGAAGCCTGAAAGCAGCTTCGCCGCCTATAGTCAAGTATCATTGGAACATTTGTCCCTGCAAACGTATATACATCGTCGGGTACTTAAATCCTCGAACATCTGTTCTATGCACTCGTAGAAATGCACTTCCCTCTAATACAAAGTATACTCTGCAACGTTCGAAACGAGGAAGTACTACGTTGCACCGTGAACACACCGTCGAGATAGAGGCCTGCCGTTGCCGACTTTATTCGATTGAGATGTTTCCAACCTCGTTTGAATAATGGACGTTCCAGTTGCGGCCAATTAAAAAGCCAGCTAATTGTTATAGGTGTTGCCGCGTGGGACAGTACCTTGGTACAATTTTTTTTTCGTAATCTTTTCGTCCCAGCTGTTTCCATCGAGCTTTAATGGCTTTGCCGCTTGTCGCTTTTTTTCGCGACGCCTTCCGATATTAGAACATCGCAATTACGTGTTACTATTATTAACTGTTAATACGAGGCCTGGCCCCGAACTGGTTTGCAAATCCGGATTCTCCTAACGTGTACCCTCCCTTGCGGCCCATCGCTCCGAGCTGTCTCCTTCGCGAATGAAATCATGCGGCCTCTTCAAAATACCATACAACTTATTACCCGGATCTCTAATTTCCCGCGATCTGATCCATACGCAATTTCCGAGATCCTTAACCTACCGATCCCGCGAAAATTTCATTAGAAACGTCGAACGATCCTTGTAGTAACTCAATTGACCCTTTAATTTTTATTTATTTTTAATTTTATTTAATTTAATTCGAATATCACCGTGTCGTTTATCCGACACTTTCAGACGAGACATCTCGTTCACTCCGATATCCTTAACCTACCGATCCCGCGAAAATTTCACCCGAAACGAGATATCTCACCGTGTCACTTATTCGACACTTTCAGACGAGATATCTCGTTCACCGCGAGTCGTCCAAAGGTTAATTAACTCCTCGCAAAGGTTAATTACCGAAACGATAATTTAAAGTGCAAAATTCAAGAATTCTCTTTCGTCGATGGATTGCATATGTATCTGAGCTTACTCCATAGATAAGAGTATCGATAAAAAGCACGGGAGTAAAATTGCGTTTATCTAATCGTAGATGTTTCATTTATTTTTTTCATTTTTGCGAATTCAACGGATGTTCGATTTTCGTTTTTTTCTCGAAGCGGACAATGGCCCGCGGAGAGTGCGAGGCGGCGAACGCTCGCGAGAACGAGCGAACGTCGGCTGTCGAGGTTAGAATCGAATGTGTGTCACGTTCACCAGGCGGCGTCGATTAGTAATCGGAGCGCGCGAGCGGCAATTACACTTGAAAAAGTCAATGTTACGCTGGAAGGTTTCGTACGGGTTGCGCAACCGCGCGTGTTCCGGGTTACATCCGAGTTTCGCGGTCCTGTGAACCGTTGGCTTCGTTGCGGAGCGCCAAGCCCCGCTTCAAAGGCGCATTGTATTTGTAATCAGCTCTTTGTTCGAGGCAACGTGTGGGTAATACCTCGTGAATCGTTCGACGATCGCATATTTCGATTCAGAAGCGACGTGTCTCTCTTTCCTTATTTTTTTCTTTTTGCCACGGATCAAGGGAGGATTATAGCGATTAATTTTCTCGACTGAGCTCTTGAGCCAGATATGTTTGTGAAATGTCGGATACAGGATTTTTGAGAATTATACTATCAGTCAGTGATCGATATCTGTGATTCCGTAACACCGTTGTTTACCAGATTCCTCGATTTTCTGCAAACTACTTTTTCAACGATGTATGTATTCGTGACGCGATATCAGTGCAACAATATCTTATCATCGTTGTACGCTCGATGTAATCTGTTATCTTTGGAAAAATCTGCTTGCAATCTTTGTGGATGATATCTGTCGCGAGGTCGATCGAGATTTGTGTATCTAACCTCTTACGATTGCAAAAATAAGGAAAATTACTTCCTTGTGTTTCTTTAACACTTGCGTAACCAGTGGGACGCGTGTGAGTACTCGAGGAAAAATTCGGCCATGAAAGGGTTGAATAAACCTCGATTACCTGGTCAAAAGGAAATTCTTTGTCTCCATTAACCCTTTCGTGCCCAGTGAAAAATACAACTTAATCTTAGATTATCGTAGATAAATAGAGAATTTTCAAAAAAAAAAATTGGGTCACGAAAGGGTTAAATAAACCTTCATTACTCTATCACCTGATCAAAAGCAAATTCTTTGTCTTCGTTAACCCTTTCGTGACCAGTGTCACGCATATGAGTACTCTAGCAAAAATTAATCTCAGATCATCGCAGATAAATAACGAATTTTCGAAAAAAAAAAAAAAGAGTAATTCGGTCACGAAAGGGTCAACTAAAGCTCTCCATTGCTCTATTACCCGGTGAAAAGGAAATTCTTTCAAACTCCCGGCAATCTTCCATTTACACCCTCTGGGATACTATTATACGACTGCTACAAAATCCCTGAAGCCTCTGTGAAATGGCGCCAGTAAACGCCACCATTAGACCGGCGCGCACTCGCTATTCCCCGCAATCTCGCGCTATTTCACGAGGGGACGTTTTGAAATAGCGATAGCGCCATGGTACGGGAGATTTCTATTGACGCGACGGGAGAGAAAGAAGCAGCAAACGTTACGTATATACACTTACTACGTGTAGAATGGCGTCTGTGAACGGTGGACGTAGCCGGCGGTGATCGCTCGAAGCGAGGCTGAATGTCACGGCGCGATAGGTGCCGCACAATGCGCCTTCCCGACGTCGGCATTAACTATTATATGCGTAATTTACGAAGGTTATTTACTATACAATTAGATATCCTCCGCCGTGCCACGTATTACGCGAGAAGGGCCCAACCGGGCCTGCGTACCTACTCGCTCGCGCATGGTAATGGTCCCCGTGAGTCCCATCACTGGGTCCCACAGAGAAATCCCTCAGTTTTTCTCCTCGACCTAGCCTAGCATAATATACGATACATACGGTGTAACGAGGTATGTAATGGGTAATAATGCGTAATGATATAATGCGTACATTCCGCGACGTACGTCTCCTATAACAAACATTGTTAGCGGGGACTTAGACGGGTTCTCAGACCGTAAAAGGGACTATCGACGAACCTTCCTATTGATACTCTACTCTTGTCGTCGTGTGTAGTACTCGATGTATAGGGTGTTTTGGAAATTGTGGGGATTCTTCGTGTAAAAGTAGGTGGACAACGAGGGGCACTCTAACTCGATTTTCTCGAAAATACAGATGCGCGTGTGAAAATTTTATTTTGTATTTTTCGACTTACGTTTATGCGAGGAATTGCCTATTTCTTGGGCTGTATCACGATTTTCGAAGTACAGTCGAGTTTCACAGAAAACCGCAGATGTGTTTTCACCACCTCGCATCATCTGTTACAATATCGCCCTTGCGGCATGAATTTGTTGCGAGCGCAACGACACTCTCTTCGCGTTC